AGCATTGCTTTAAAGTTTTGAATGAATGCACCAAAATATAGAAGATTTAAATACCTTTGACATTTCCTTCATATATGCCAGCATTATCCATGCATTTAATACTGTATTCGTAAGTAACTTCCTATTCATCCATGGAAACAACTTTTCATATTCTTTATAATAGGCTTTAGGCTTTACTGGAGTTGGATTTTACTCCTACCAACGTTTGTTTAGATTTTACAACAATCGATTTAATGGGCGGTGTATTATCTTTTTCAACGGAAATCGTTTAATTCACAAAGACGATGATTTTTATAAGCAAACGTCAAGTGACATTTCCATGGTAATCGTGAAATTACGAACACCCAGCCCACTTATTAGACATGTATTCGAGTATAACGTCAATATGACTTCATTGTATTTCCTATTTTTAAATTATACTGCAGGTATAATAAAAAATACTATAAGATACACGTGTATAATTGGTCTTTAAGGCACTTGCAACGTTAAAGGCACTCCGCTTTGCGTCGTGCCCTTAAACTCGTTGCGCGTGCTTTAAAGACTTGATTATACACTTGTATCTTAATATACTATTTCTCATAAATTCATAATACACTGAACACTAAACGTCGACTGGCCCAAGGACTACCCTACTATTGATACTGTTATTATGCCTTTAATCAACTTATATATTTATTATTTCCTACCATACCCGACACGTTTTCCCCGTAACTCGATGTATGTTGGTGAGCGGATGGATTAAATGCTTTTTTCTGAGGTCGATAAGCAATCCGAAATGTTTTAAAATACCCCTCTCCCTCTTCCTCTCCCTCAAAAATCAATGGAAATCATTTAAAAACTAATGCATAAACATTTTTAACCCTCTTCGGCCACCCACCACCGCCGCGCCATCCGTGAAATTGCTGCCAGCATATACATAACTATCTTATATCCAAATATCAACAATAATAAAAATGTTTAAGAAAATATTGTGCCACTAGCCCTTAGAGTACTACTGAATTGATAGGGTGGTCAAATTAATTGACCTTTCTTTTGATTTCAAAAGCTACAACTTCCCTTATGAGTAGAACTGAAGAAGACATACAAAAAGGTCTTGGCGAACTGGCTTCGTAAGGGCCCGGAAAGGCCCAGAAAGATGCAAAATGATGAATATTAATTATAATAATTATAATTACGAAGTACTTTCATCGAACATTTTTGTTTTGCTCCACCTTCGACTAGTAATAAATTAGTGTTAATTATTAAGTTACAATAGAACCAATTAGAATCACTGTTTCGATAATTTGAACTTTTCATTGTTAGAGCCAAGAGTGGTTTTTGAAATTCAGAATGACACGATTTGGTATGAATGAATGCTGAAAGTCACTGTTGTTTTTCACATCCGTTTTCAATGTTGCACACTGGATATACGAAATTTTCCAAAAGAATTTCTTCCACTATGATTACTATTCCTTGTCAAGCAAAACGTCGCTTAAGCATTCGTATAAAGCAGAGCGAAATACACACACTATTATTATAGGAAACAAGGAATTTTAAATTACGCGAGTTGTTACACTTTACAAAATGAAAGCACGAGAATTTTTTATTTAACAACTCTACAACAATCTCGCCTCGGGATTGTCTTATTGCTTTTTTTATTTGTTTTCCTACATTTGTAAGTATATGCATTATGCAGTTGCAAACTTTAAAGCCACGAACTTGATGAAAATGAAATGTGTGCATTAATAATTATTCCGACATAGGTAGGTTTGTGAAAGCCTTTTGGAAGTACGTTTCTCATTTATAATTCAAAGAAATTGCAAATTGAGGTCACGGTTATTAATTATATTAAAACTTTTGGAGAAATGTTAATGTAAAGCACCCATTATGCTTTATACATTTTTCCATTGTTATATTAGCATGCCTCAAACTCGATTTCCTTTTTAGAAGTGGATGCAATTTAGTTGCAGAATGAGAATTAGATCGACTTTCGAGCCCCGTTAGTTGGATAATTGTGTTTCAAATCACAAGGGAAGGTTACATATTGCAGTTTCATTCTATCAAGCGGGCTAGGGCTGAATATGGTGTAAGTATAGTAGGCTATGAGAAAGATTATAACAACTAAAACAGGAAATCTTTGTTAATCTCGACGCGTTCAGGCACAACGCGTGATTACTCATTGTTAAGAGTAATCCGGAGGTAGTTAGACATACAAGCATCCCTCCGTTGTCCTGACAAAATTAATATATGACAGCAGTACTTCGTGAAAGTTTTAATGCATGTTGTTTCAGAAAGCATGCTGCTGCGCTCTGCAAATGACACTTAAAAAATCTAAATAGTACGCTAATTTGTCTCATTAATTATTGAAAGCAAAGGAAAATTACTGGATTACAGTTCATTCATATCCAGCATTTTTTTAATGATAATTTATTTTATCGTGTCCAATTCACCTCGCGGAATCACTCGAGTTCATCATTTTGGGGTTAGTCACTTCGTACATTTAACCTTAAGATTCCACCTGACGTGTCGAGTCGACTACACCCCACTGGAAAATCTGACTTGGCACTACCGAATGGATAAGCCGACTCGACGCTTCTCAGAAAATATGGGCTCAAGATGAAGCTTTCAAGTTTTCGTCCCTTGCACTCCAAAAAAAATGCTCTACTCTGTTCCACATTTTCCCGAGGCAATAACGACCTCCCAGGGATTTGATAAAACCGTACTTAATGTACGCAAAAGAATCTCGAGTATTCCTTTAGCTTAGTCTCTAAACTATATTACTCAAAAACCAGTAATGCCCAAATGGTTACAGTAAGGGTATGATTCTGTACATTGAAAGCAAAATAAACACGTTCATTTTAATAAAAGATTATTAAAAACCGGATTCCAGGTCCAGTCACGGGGGTCGTATAGTCGAGCGTGAAACCCACGTGGGGGTTCACGAGGCATTAAGTTAAAAAAAAACGCTTGGGCCTATTCAGTTCAAAGATTGTACATTTGACCTATATACCACATGTAAGGCCTATTAAAATTGGGCCAAATCCAATGACCCCATAAGGTCACACCGAGGTGCCCTGTCGCTTTTTCAAATCTGCTTTAGGGGTTTATTTTGTCTTGTCTTAGATCGATTGCCAAACGAATAGTTATGAAAGACGATAGGCTGAAGAGCTTAGGTGCACTGATAATAAACTGAATAACGTATGCTGATGTTGCATTCGCTACTTATGCGTAGCCAGTTCATTGTTAACGCCAAGTTCTGTTTCCGACGGATTGCTTAAATAGTGCAATCATGTGAAACGAAAAAATAGTTAACGTTTCACGTGTCTGCTAAAAGAAAATGAAATATATCTGTCCGTATTTAATTATGTTATTCTACTAAATACTTTTGTATTGCGGGACTGTGAATTGGAGAGTGCCATAATACAATATGTACCGGGTGATCGAAAAAAACTGCAGACAATTTAAATTTGGCGCTTTAAAGTTTTTCTGTTTTTTACTTAAGGAATTGGCAAACATGTTTAGAAGTTGGTTTATTTATGCATTAATTGCCATTCATTGGCGTAGTATTTTTATGTGAATTTTATTTTCTAATCTTCGTACTGTAATCCAGGCGTTTCAAAGCAAACAGCTCTTTTTAAAAAGGTCTTCGCACGTGCATCATTTCTTAAAGGTAGGTACGTACATTAAGAGAACATACTTTATAAGGATCATGTAACCTTACCTTTTAGGCATAAAGGCTTTAAAGGGGATGCACTTTTGTCTTTTGATTCACAATTGAAAGGCGTACATGTTTAAAAGATGCTTATATTCGACTCAGTGGTGCTTACTGCAATTCAACGATAAATGTGCTACTTACCATGATGTCGAAGGTGTAATAAAAAAAACGTATCCCCAAGAAATCGGTTTCGAAAATTCTCTAATGAAGCCTATTTGTTATTTTTACAGACTTATCGCATAATATGCGACACAAAATGTTACACATTGATATCGGAAATGTTTTCATCCAGTGTTGATGACGTTAATTTATGAGAATACGTGGAAACGTCTTATTGTATGTAGGCAAATGAAATGAATCTTACGGTGATGGTGATGGCTATTGCTCGGGCAACGTTGGAATAGATATTTGAATACATGAACCCGAGCGTGCAACTGAGTTTGATAGATTAATTTTTTTAAAATTGTGATTATTGTTTAGTGATCCATTAAATTGATCCACCACTGCTTTTAAATAAATGACATTTGGTATATTACCAACTTTATAAATGTTTAGTTTTGTGGGAAATTCAAACTGTCCGCACTACTTTCCCATCACCCGGTAAGTGCCTGTTTTTATTGTCATTTAAAAAGCTTATGTAGTTAAATGAAAGCAGAATTGTTTTTTTTATCTTTTTTAATATACGTAAAACGTAAGTACTTTTACATTGTTTATTTTTCAAATTTGCAACGTGTGCACTTTAGCGAAGTAGTGCATGTTGGTTCCGTTGGCTCATTGGTAGCAGTTTTTATATATTTTATTTTATTTCTGATTATTATTTTGTTATCCCGGAAGCCGCATATTAACGACTCTGGCATGGAAGCCTCCGTTTTGACATTTTTTATTTTTAATTTGAAATGCAATCAAGTTAAGAAGGAGAGCGAAAAGTTGAGTTTTTGAGGTAAACGGGAAAAGGTACACCTTCCTGAGAAATATAAAATTGATACCCGTGAGCTAGCCGCCGGCATAAAAGTTATAAGGGCAGTAAAATGAGTAAATTTGGTAACTACCCGTGTTGCCGATTAGTATTCTATTTAAAGATGCTTCCAGGAAATTACTTTCCGGGGATTATTTTGTGATGGCACACCTCCAATTCACACGAATGATATGCAAGCGACCCGTAGTGGATTGCTGTTACCATTTTCGAATTATGATTCACAGGCAACACGATATACGAGAAGGGAGCCAAATATTTATTTATTTACGCCGATGGAGGAAATTTCTTATAGAACATATTATAGAGAATAGTAAAATAGAAAATACTTACTTCTTGAATTCTCCGATGTATGCTAACCTTATGCCACTGATTATCATCAAAGCGCACCTTATTTGGCTTGATTTGCATCTCCTGTTTGCCATTAGAGAGACCCATCGTTAAAATTAAGCATCCCTCCTTAATCGCGACGTTGAGGTAGTCAGTTCCATCGCCTGTAATGCATCACGTCCATTAATAATGAGGATAGGCAATAATTTATTAGGAGAATGCGCACTCTGGCGATATTACTTTAAAATGTATTGAGAGCAATTACTTTTAAATGAAATTTAGATGAGAATAGAATGCGTATTTACACATGGGATTTGTTTCGGGTGTTGACCGATGTTCAATTTAAGTGGAAATTGCCAAAGGATATTCAGTGTCACTTACGAGAAGTCTCACCTGTATAAAACAGTAATCCATTGGGAGCTCTAGTTTTAAAGTAGAAAGTAACGGAATCTTGAGCACTAACGATTGGTTCGCCCCCTGTCTGACTGAGGTCGTACGATAAAAATTCGTTACCTCTAAACACCGCTTCGGAAGGTGCTTTGTCTGTAATTAAAATTTGAATTTCACACAGTGGTAGTATAAATAACAAAACTTTTTGTAACATGCAAAAATTATAATATACGACAGTTCTCTGATGGGAATAGCAAAGTCCCTAATCTTATTATCCTTTATCCTATTGTAATGGACAACCGGTTGTATTATATTTTCATTTTGAACCTAAATCCGTGGAAATGTGTATATTATCCGCTACCGGTATAATTTAGAAAAGGTAGGATATTTTTACTTAAATACCTTTTCGGGAGATTATTATTAATTCATATACCTGTTTAAATTTCTACTCTGTAAATAATTGACTGTTCCTTTAATGGGCTTATATACTTAGGATTAGAGTTAAAACACCACTCCTGCTGATTTTATAGTTTCGTAATGTTGGACTTTCTGTTAGCATCGTTCTCTGTCAGCTACCCTTTGATGAGTAATGTAAACACATGAGACTACTACGGGTAAGTGAATCCTTTACGTCGTATTACCCTAGCAGTTTGATTTATATATCTATATCTAAACATTTTTTATTCAACGTTTACGCCTACTTCGTTTCCGTACGAGTGGTAAATTAAATATTGCTTCACTTTTATCTCGGTAACAAGCACCGAATTCGACATGCATTTTTTATAAATTGTAGGTATTTTTATAATGTTTAATGCTATGTAAAAGTAGACGTACCTATTTATTCCATTTAAATTATTAAAGAAACGGGTTGAAATCTGTGACTGCGCGTGTTTTTTCAGTTCATTGAATTTTTTTGAAGGCCCATAAATCAGAAAAAAAAAGTTTTCGCCTTATGGCGAGTAGCATTTTCCATGAATTAATCAGGAAATCTGGTGGATTTTTGTTACAAATAAGCACATAATTGATGAATTTTATTTAATTTTATTGGTAGTTTATTTTCTTCAATAATGTAGTCGGTTTTATTTTGTTTATATTAAGCCGCAGAAAATAAGAAACACGTGGGTTAAGGAATTATTGCGTCTATTTGACCATTTTTTAGCAGATATTTGATCAGAGGACTTTATCATAGTTAAATTAAATTGATTAGGTAAAGAGTGGCAAATGTGCAAAATTGTAGATAAGGAAGTGCGATGTAAATAAGTGCTCGCATTATGCCGGCCTTTACCGAAGACAAGAAATAGCGATGGAGATGGTTTGCACTTAAGAAGGATGGGCGCCGATCTAACTGGTTCATTTGACTTAGCGTAGGTAACAGTTCGTTGCGTGTAAATTTAAATACGTACTTTTCCGGTGGTCAACCGGTGTTTCGAAGTCCAGTTTGTCAATTAAATTGAGAAGTGATACAGGAATAGTTTCCGATTGTTGTCGTCCAAAGTTAGTGTTTCCGCAATTACTTCAAAGTTATGAGAAAGGAGGTGGTTTGACAATGCCAATCGTCATGGAACCGATTTAAAAAAAGGAAGACACAAACGTTCTCCCTTTTTTAAACTGGTTCCATGACTATTGACATTGCTGAATTGGCAGCTCGGATAGAAACTTTAATTTTAACGAAGACAGAGCAATATAAATTGAGTAACGTAATAAACAAACTTATTTGACATAAGAAATAAGCCATAATATCGTCTGTGTAATTATCTTCTTTTTGCAGAAAGATTGATTACAGTATGGATGCTTCGTTTTTATTTAAATTGAATTTAGGCCATTATTTAAATAAAAATGCTAAATTATGGCTTTTATTAAATTGATAAGACATTGTAAAAAAATGATAAAGTCGCAGAACACAAGATTAGGTTCATGTACAGGATGGTCCAAATTCGTGACACACGTTTGGTATCTCCGCTGAGAGATACAGTGTAGGTTAAATGGAGACAAAGTTGAGAATCTGAATCTGTTATCAGAATTTCCATAGCACGCTAGATGTAGAAGCCCAAAAACCGAAACGGACCTGACGAAAACCAAGCTTCTGCCAGGCTTTTATACATATAGCGGTATTGTAGAAAGTACGTCCCCATGCTCCGTAAAAGCGATCATTAGAACCGGAAACACTGTGGCATTTTGAATCTTCTCTGCTTGCACACTCGCTCCTTATCTGAAAGCGCTTCGTTCTATCGCATTTTAATCCCGTTCTCTTTCACTATGGAGCGGTACACGTATATAATTTCCTATAAACTTAAATTAATTTTACCACGAAAACGTTGTGGTCCAGGGTGCGGAACATTAATTGTGTTTATATTTGAAGTGGTTAGTTCCGATAAAAGACAAGTGGATTAATCAAATTGTGCGCCTATCTTGTTTATATGGCGCGGTAATAAGTTTCTAATTTAAACGGCAAGTCAGTAGAAAGTTTACTTATTACTGAGCTAGCCGTGGATTTAATTAATTCATTACAAAAAATTGTTGCAATAAAGTTTTTAGGCAAGTGTGGAAATGTAAACCCTTTATATTTTCCTGATTTTTCTGTAAGCTAAAACTAAAAAATCACGTTAGTGACAATATGAAAATAATTATTGACAATTCATATTTTTGTGCCTAGTTTCTGAAAAGTTGAAATCTTTTAAATATGAAAACGAGGTAGGCATGTGTAACAGTAAAACACGCAAGGGTTGCTTTCATCATCCTTTTTCATCGGCCAGACATTTTGTAATTAACTACAAAGGATCAGTAAAAACCAAGGTAAAAACACATCAATGTTGAAGAATCGGTATTTTAATTGCTGGCAATAATATTGAAAAGACTAATAATTTTCAGATCATTCAACTTCATATAGAAATGAATTAATCATACCAAATACATATACATACAAAATGGAACAAAATAATTTCCACATTTCCACTTATAAATAGTGTAAAAAATGTTTATATTCATAACGATATTCTTTGATAAAAAATTATTTCGCTCATTTGTACTTGGGGATGACAGTATGAACAAACTTCGCACAAAAGCAATGATTTGAGGAACATTAATTCCGAAGCGTACATGAAATGTCTCTCCCGTGCGTTTCTCTTCATTTTTCATTAAACCGTTAATCTGACTTGTTCACAAAATGTCACCATCACAATTAATTTCATTTATTGCGTCCTATATGTCACTGTATTACAAGCGCGCGAGAATGAATTTTCTTTCGACGAACTCAATTTAATAACTAAACGGCAAACGTGAAAACAGGGTGCGTAGTCAATATTTCTGACAAACAATATCACCCAGATGAACGATAAAAAGCAATTTACAAACACAAATTTATCAAATCTTGAATTCTGTTTTTAGCAGCGGCAGAATATCCATAAAATTTCTCACTAAATGCCTGTCCCTCGTTGCATTTATCAAAAGTCATCTAAAGTAGTTTACTTTATCATTAGAAGTGTGCTAGTGTTTGGGGCGGGCTGTGGTGACGAACACAATTCCAGCCAATTTGTTTTGTAAATCTCCTTTAAACCACGTGTAGAAAGGGAGTCAAAGCAAGATTGATAAAGACGTAAAGTTGCCACGAACTTCGATAGAACTGACAAATCAATAATCGCGCCTTTCTCGAGAGAAAGTATAATATATAGTTCGGTTCACTGTTTTTGTCATTTAAAGGGGATTTATGCGACGTTCTAAAAAGTATAATTCTAGATATAAAGGGAGAATTGTAATTTTTTGCACCTGCAACCAAATTAAAGGTCTCTTATACCTTTAGAAATAAGATATTAATTTGCACTGCCAAGCAAGCTAGCAAGGGATGAGGGAACGGAAGCTCGATCGGTAATGTAATATTGAAAATTGTTTGCTTTTAAGAGGATTAAAGATTGTAAAATACTTAGTAGTTTGATAACGAAAATGCTCTTGTTGATTTAATTCGATAGACTTATATAACCCAAAGCAAGTGGCGTTCTGTTTGCAAAAGGAAACAAAAGGGAAAATGATCTTTACGTTAACGAACAAAAGGGTATTGTCAAGAACGTCGATTAAACAGACTTGGAGCTTCGTTAATTTTAGTGTTTCTCAGCTACCTACAAAGGATTCAAGATGATAGTACTTTACGATAAGTTTTTACATTTGTTATGAAATCTGATTGCAAACTCTTTGTATGCGCTCGAAAAAATCTCGTTATAGGAGAGACCTGGAGATGTTTTATATATGATAAGGTTTATTAGAAATTCAATGGTAAACGTGTATTTGGTATATGCGTGGTCAGATAAGTATCGGTTTGTGACCTAAATATGGCGGAATCAGATTTTTTTTATTTTCTTTCGTATTGAATGTCTGACTTTAGTGCGTAATATCAAGGCCGTTTTTATCAAACAAATAAAATCTTTAGCTTCATATAAAGTAATAATGCATTTCTGACCAAACGTCGATACCTCGATGGCGTAAACGGTGCAAACTCAGAACAGGTACAAAGAACATGTGGAACTGATTAACGACCATAAGTCAAATTTGATTTGATGGTTATATAATAAACCCTATTATCTGTGTATTATTAATTATAATTATATTCATCACAGACGACTTGATTAAAATAAAAAACCGTTGATATAACTGGTATCTTATAACCTTATGCTATGATAGCTCGTTGAAAAGAGAATTACAAAATCTATCAAGTAATCTAAAAATCCAATATGGCGCCTATTTAACTTTAGCAGGTTGGTAAAGGTTCCTCAAAAGTAGCCATAACAACAACATTAATTCTAAATGAAGCGTATCAAAGACAGTAACTTTTATATACAACTTTTTTTATATCTCTTATACTTTCGATGATATGAGACATTAAAAGAAATGACCAATTTTAGTTTTTTTGAATTTACGTCGAACCTATGCGACATTTTGAATTTGCATAAGGCAATTTTAAATAAGCATCCAAAACTGCAAAACATTGTCCTTTTAACCGATTCTCTATCTTTAATAATAACAAAGTTACCCATGCAATCCCACGCGATCTGGGACACACTGTATACAATTTATAACAGCGCGAACTGCTTATTACTTCGGCGTTGAAATTGGAACTGAAATGAAACGCAATTCGATATTTTTATATAGTAAACTCGAGTGTCTTCTGGAAGACATGACATATTCCCCGGAAAGATTGCATCGCATCCATCCTCGTTCTTTATTGCCGATGACTAATCTTTCATGTCGCCTCGATGCCTTTCAGAATTTCTGGCATATTCACTACAATAGTAAACAGAATAGTGAAAGTTAAATTTCGAATATTTTATCGCTAGTACAGAGAGTAAGAAGGCAGCCGGGTCGACAAACGTGATCACGGATTTAAGAATTTATAAAGTTTAAAAAGTTTGTGAGGAATGGAGCTGGATTGTTATTATTTATTAACCAGGAAGGTGGACTCAAATCGGGATCTAAAGATTCCAGTTAAAAGGGAAAGCAGCCGTTTCTCCATTAATTTTTTGCAATAGTTAATTTGATTTCATTTCATGCTAACCGGTAATTATTTTATTATAATTGAGGTAGGTACACCTGCGCATTTTGGACCCCACTAACGCACGGGTGGTAAAAATTGCGGGCGAATCATAAAATGGTAATCGACAGCGAATAAAAATTTTATTGTACATAATAAATTAACCTTCAAAAGAGAGAAAATCGAAAAGTGGACTTTTCCAGTTTAACGGATGGCCTTTTTGGATATTTGTATACTTATTCGAATTTCAAGTCACAAAACT